CCTCATCTGACCTAAGCCATTTAAAAGTTATCAGTTGATCTCTAACTAAAACTAGAACACGGGTAGGGTTGGAAAGTAACATTTTTTCCTACAATATGTGCATATTGTCAACTAAAACTTTGCACTTGTCATCTGCTTCTGATTTGATTAAGTCATGAGCCACTGCAAATGCTGGCCTTCAACACCCTTTGAACGTAGTTCAGGGTTTAGATCAGGAATGGGTTGCCCTGTGCTCAGGGAAAATGGGCAGAAAAGCCTTCAGATAGTTAGACATTTATAGGAAATTTTATGAGCCCAAATTCTTGCATCTCCCCCTATCTAGAAAAACATTAAAATCATTAACAAAGACACCTGCTCCTCGACTAGAAGCAGCCTCTGCCTAAACTTGTACTTGACCGCACGTCCCCTTTCACTGAAATCCCATGTAATGCTGAGCTCCCCCTCCTCTTCAGAGCAGTTCCTCCGACCTCTCTGAGATGCTGTCACCTGGGCTCTGGTCCTCATTTTGCCCCAGATAAACCTTAACCAACAACTCTCACGTTGTGTGGTTTATCGACAGTACCACAAAAATTAAGCTTACATACTTGAACTCATAGTAAACATTCAGTATCAAACATTTCTTGACTTAAATTCCTTTTTAAAAGTAAATAAGTATTCCATTTCTTAAATATAGCATCTTTAAATATAAATTAACACATATTTGCGAATCTTTGGAAAATATATTCTAGAAAAAATTTTAGCTAATTAAAAAAAAAGCTATTTTGTTGAGCTTTAGATTTTCGAAAGTGGAAGAGAATAGTATTGTAACTCAAGTTCTTGTTTTAAATGCAGAGATCCTGAGGCCTCAAAAGACATATAAATTTGCCTGATTTTATACACTGTCTTTTAACAGAAAACCTAGAACTAAGTTCATGGTCTTTGAGAAACCAAGACTTGCTCTGATGTTGCAGGGCTGAACCTGGTGAAAATGGGTGGTGAGAAAGAACCAGAATGCTGGGGCTTAGGCAAGGCAGCTGAAGAAAGGAGGGTCTCACCTGGTCGTGGGTGAGAAATAGGCTCCTGCAGTGCCAGTGTGATGGGCATCCCTCAAGGGCCTGAAAACTACTATTTAACACACCTGCCACTGAAACACACACAAGCTGTTTAACTAGAAGCCTGACCAGGAGGCTTTCTCAGTGACACAACAAGCTATTTTCACATTAACTCTACAACTACAGGAAGAGAAAGAATAGAAAGCTGATATTAATTATTAAAAATTTACACCAAGAACCAAGAAATTTCCAGGAGAAATAAAAAGACTTGTTGGATATTTCATTATGTGAACTTACTGCCAATTCAGTTGTCTTAAAAGTTGTGCTATAAAATGCATGGTCCTTTGTTGTTCCAAATCACATTTGAAAGAAGTAATGTTTCCTAAGGGTGTTTCTGGAATTCTCTTCTATTTTCTAACACCAAATTTAAGACCTTTAAAGAAATGGGGGGTTGGCATTTCGTCCACTGTTCTCTAGGCAATTTGTAGTTCCTTCAAAGAACAAGGGGGAATAGCACAGAAAAGCATTTGAACAACAGGCTGCTTACATTTCCTCCGGAAGTCTTGGAAGATAACGTGGAAATGAACAGCAGGACAGAAACCTGGCGGGGGGGTCACTGGCTAGAAGGTGAGAACAAATGTGCTCTCCAACGTGCTCTGGTAGCCACTAGTTTAAACGAACCGAGCAATTGTTCTAGCATACACACACCTCTACGTGAAAATCTCAAACGTTACCAAACACTCAGTGCAGCCCGAAGCAATGGACGGAATGCAGAGGCCCCCGGAGGCTCATCGTGTGTCTTACACCATGTGAAGGATGAGCGGTTCCTCCCCTCCCCCTCCCTCCCCTCCCCTTGTAGGAGATGACTGATCTTGAGCTGAGCTTACCTCATAGCAAGCTGTCTCTCAGCCCTCTGTCTAAAGCAAGATAAAAGCAGGATGGCTACATGGGACTTCACAGAACCACCCCAAAAGGGAAATGAAACACCTTTCTTCCATTCTCTCTGCTGCCTGGAATGTGGAACTGATGGTTGACCCTCAGGCAGCCACTTTGGGCCATCAGGTTGATGGGCTGAAGATAACAGGCATCTGGTTCTCTGACCCTGGGGCCTTCATGCATACCAGCCCTGGGCTACCGATGCTTGACTTCTTTATGTAAGAGGGAAATACATATTTAGAATGTTTAAGCCAGTACTGTTATCTGGGGAACTAGGTGTTATAAATTGACATGGTAAGTCTTAATAATACAGGTATATATTCACCAAAAACTATTTACCAAATATTAATAAATGATAAAGAGAGCTTGATTTTTCTTTTAATGCTATAAAATGTAAATCAAGTTTCAGCATATGTCAATAGAAAAAGACACTGTGGAGAAAAAGCAAAACAGAATTTGTAGAACAGAAACCCAAATCATCCTCTTCCCCAAGGCACAGGAGGACAGCTTTGAGTTACGTGCCAAGGCTGGAGTCAGATGGGCTCCCTGTTTTCCTTGCCTTGGGTTGTGTTTTGTTTCCAGACTTGGGAAAAATGGATAAGACTGCTGGTCAAATCATTTCAGGAGCAGCTTCCATCATGCAGAACCCCTGTCTCTTCCTTTCCTCTGCCTCCTGGAATGTTCTGACACAATTAATCTGTCCAGCCTTCTAAATTGAGCAAATGGAGCACAATCAATCTAGTTTTAGACAGAGTTAAGAAATAGACATTAAAAAGCATAACTAGCAAATCTTATCTTTCAGAGGTCATTGCACAGATGAAATAGGAGAATAGCTGTGAATCACTCTGTAAACACTAAGTACAATACAAACAATATTAATACTGATTCTATGTTACATTCATCAGAAAAGGAAAACAGAACAGTTTCTTACCAATAGGAGAAGGTGCTTTGCAATTTTCTGTCTCTTTAATTCTTCAAATTTTGTATAAAATTTATGTCTTTAAAAAAATCAATGCACATTAGGGACTAATTTTAATTACTTCATCTCCCCCTGTTCAACAGATATCAAGAATGGTACCATTTCTAGATATTTTATTTAGGAAAGCCTTTGGTATACATGAGGCACAGAGCATGACAAATTGTCAGTATCACTCAGGATAGGAAACCCATGTATGATACCGGAACTTGAAGACATGAAGAAGATGCCTGACGTGTCCCACTGAACTTTCAAGCTATTCTTTTTCAAACACTTGTTTCTTCTTGGTCCAGAACAGACCCACATTTGTTGATGTGAGACTCTTTAACTGAAAATGTCAACCCATCATTACCACTTTAGAGGCTGAAATCTTACCCTCCTCATCTATGTGGACATAGCATCCTTACTGATTCCTAACATGAAAAATGACCACTGATGACATCTCAGGATGCTCCAATGCAGAGGTTCTCTGCTGTAGTGAGGAGGAAAGAGCCATGTGCTTCAAGACGCACTTTCTCTCTGTAGCTCACTTGGCAAGACACGGCAACTTGTCTAAGCTAAATCTTCAAAGTGGAAAACAGAGACAACATCCATGGCAAAGGGCATTCGGAGGCTAATTCCTTGGCCCCACTTCATCCCTTCTCAAGAGCCGTGGGCAATACCTTGAGAAAGGCAGCAACATGTTACCCAACTCATCAAAAAGCTGCGCCTCCTAATAATTGACAGGAAAGCAAGTGTCATCTGGCTCAACATATCTCCCTATGTCTCTACAGTATATGTCTAATTTTCTTTATTTTCTCGGTTGTTGGACACTCCTTTTTCAAAATCCCCCTCCCTGCAGTAGAAGTTCTTAGTTTCCCAATCACAATGCAGGCTTGAAGGGGTGATAACAGAGCTGACAAAACATAAACCACTATTTATTCCTTGATATATTTTTGGCACATGGACTGAAAATCTTTGGGTCAGTTGGACATCAAGATCATATCTAATTTACACAATTGTCAACTGTCATTTTACTACCAGCTCCTGAAACAGTCACGTGGTCACTAGGTTTTTTTCCTTCCCTTGACCCATGGATTCGATGATTTCTCTCCAGACACAATAGTTTTTTGAAAAGAGGTCTGTTTCACCTTTTGTTTTTAAACTAAACTTGCCTGCTTGACCCTGACTTCACTCCAACATTCACAAAAATCTATCTAAGACAACCGCATTTGACATCATCTCTAGATGTCTTGAATACACTGCTGAGCTGATTCTTCCAGATCATTAAAATATATATGCACATTATCCTGTGGTCCTCTTCAATTTGTGGTGTTTTCAGTAATCATTACCTCTTTGGATACTTTATTACACATTTAACATTTCTTTATCCAATTCAGTTACATTAGTATATAAGATTTCAAAGACCTGCTTTCTCAAAATGATGATATGTAACATCTGTGGTCTTTTCTTAATCAAGTAATTCTATAAGGCTCTCAAGGACAGTAGTGAAGTTTGTGTGTGTTAATTGCTGTTTCAGAGTCTCCGGTCCTGCCCCATGATATTGCAGGTGTTTACGCACCCTTGTCAATGTCATCACATCAGTCTATTAGGAGCTGAAATTAAACTACCTGGATGCTAATTTTTCTTTTTAAAAACAATAAACTCAATTTCCCCTACTAATTCTTTATTATTTCTCATACTGAGGCTCACCACTTTTCCTAATATATATATTTGATGGGGAGGTGTGGCATAGCCCTGAAAGCCTGCAGACAGCACCAACTCTTAAAGAGTAACCAGAGGTGGCCGTGGATGTTGTGTGACTTCAGCCACTGAGGACGAGCACCTGCTGTCTCGCCAACTGTTCTGCCTCCGTTGCTGACAATGCTGAAGGTCACGGCCTCTTGTAAAATTCTACAAAATTATAGTTCATATATTTTTAAAAGGTATAAAATTGTGAAAGTCGTCTTTTGTTTGTGTAAAATGGGGGGTTCTTGCCTTTGCTCATTTCAGGCTAAACTAACTCCAGAAATACACACACACACACACACACACACGCAGTCCTGAGTGCCCACAAGGAAAAGTTTCAAAGGATTCGGGGCAGTGGTGGCACTCAAACCTTTGGAAATTTGAGCTCTATGAAAGTATCACTTATTCAGAAATTAAACGTTATAATTCTAGACCAAGAGAATCAGAATCCCCCACAAGATACTTACCAGAATTTTTTTAAAGATACTATCTTCCCTAAAATCCAATGATAAATCAAATATCCATGGAAAGAATATAGATCAGTAATATCAAGCAACAATTTCTACACTAATGCTGATTAGCCATCAGCCCCAACCAAAGGACTTTGAAATAAGACACCTGGAGATAAAGATGTGGAAGAGATGTATTAAAAAGCAAGAATATAAAAGAAGTAATGGCCTTATGGAAACCTGTTCATTTTCTTTGAAATAATTACTTGGTGAAAGGAATTCACTCGTGAGGATTGGAATTGCACCAAGAGGAAATATAGCAGGGAAAAGAAGCAGAAGCAGGTCTCAGATTTTTCCGAGGCTGATCCTAAATGAAAAAATTCCCTTGGCTTCCACATACACAAACTGCATTGATGCCTAAGCAGAAGAGTGAGGAGGAGAGAAAAACGAATTTGTGTGGAAGCCATCGTTCAACAACACTGCTGGAAACACAGAATTGTGGTATTGGGGCACTGCCCGACTGATATATATAACAGCAGGAACAAGCTCTAACTAGGTTTCTGAGCGAAAAATGCTTTTAGCATTAAACCTAGTTAAGTAAACAGGCAGAGAAATCATGGTAAGTGCTTGAGATGTAGCCTTGCTGTTTAGGTGAGATAAGTGAATACTTCTACACTTGTTCCATTTTGGAAACATATGTGAGTGGAAGCCAAACTTCACCTAGACTTTTGAGAACCCAGAGTTTCTGGCCTAGGGGAATTACTGTACTTACATATATAAGGGGAGTCACAAGCTCCAGGTTTCTTTTCCATTCCAAACAGCTTTTACTTGAAATCGGTTTTCAGAATAATGCTGAGAAATCAGAGTTAGTGTTTCTACATATCACTCTACCTTTTATGCTATATGAAAGAACTCCACATCACATGCTCAATTTTTAGATCTGTATGAGTTTGGAAGCTAACCTTCAACTAGCTAATTGGGAACCCACAGTTTCTGGACTAGGGAAACTATGCTGCTTTCATATATATGGGAACATACTAGAACCACATAGGTTTTCCACTGCAAATCGCTTTTACATGAATCGGGCTTTGAGGAACATGCTGAGAAATCAGAGAATATGTTTCTGTATGTCACATAACCTTCAATGCTGGATGAAAGAATGCCTCTCCACATGCTAAATTCTGACTGCTGAATATGCGTTGGACCAGTCCTAAAACTAACTTGTAGGAAACCCAGAGTTTCTGGTCTAGGGGAACTACCCAACTTACATATCAAAGCGGTGACAATCGCTCCAACGCGGTTTTCCATGGTAAAGCAATTTTACTTTGAAACCGGCATTAGGAAATATGCTGAGAAATCAGAGAATATGTTTCTACATGTCACTTTGCCTTTTATGCTGGAAGAAAGAACGCCTCAACATGCTCTATTTTCAGATATTTGTATGTGTGGAAGTCTTCTTCACCAAGCTTGGTGGGAACCCAGAGTTTCTGGACTAGGGGAACTATGCTGCTTTCATATATATGGGAACATACTACCACCATCTCGGTATTCCACTGCAAACCACTTTTACCTACAACCGGCTGTGAGAAACATTCTGAGAAATCAAAGTGTGTCTCTATGTCAATTAACCTTCAATGCTGGAAGAAGGAAAGCCTCTCCACATGCTCACTTCTGACAGCTGAATGTGTGTTGGAGCAGTCCTTCAGCTAAGTTGTTGGAAACCCAGAGTTTCTGGTCTAGGGGAACTACGCTACTTACATATCTAAGCAGAGGCACTCGCTCCAATGCGGTTTTCCACAGCAGACTGCTTTTACTTTGAAGTCGATGTTAATAAACATGCTGAGAAGTCGGAGAATCTGTTTCTACATGTCACTCTGCTTTTTATGCTGGATGAAAGAATGTCACTACACATGCTCTATTTTCAAATCTGTATATGTATGGAAGCCGTCCTTCATCTAACTTGTTGAAAACCTAGAGTTTATGGACACGGGAAACTACGCTGCTTTTATATATATGGGAACGTATTAACACCAACTCGATTTTCCTCTGCAAACTGCTTTTACTTGAAACCGGCTTTGAGAAACATTCTGAAAAATCAGAGTAAGTGTTTCTGTATGTCACTTAACCTTCAATGTTGGATGAAAGAATGCATCTCCACATGCTCACGTCTGACAGCTGAATGTGTGTTGGAGCTGTCCTTTACCTAACTTGTTGGAAACCCAGTGTTTCTGGTCAAGGGGAACTACGCTACTAACATGTCTAAGCGGAGGCACTCGCTCCAACGTGGTTTTCCACAGCAAACAGCTTTTACTTTGAAACCGGTGTTAGTAAACATGCTGAGAAATCAGAGAATGTGTTTCTACATGTCACTATGCTTTTTATGCTGGATGAAAGAACGCCTCACCAGATGCTCAATTCGCAGATCTGTATATGTGGAAGCCGACCTTCACCTAACTTGTTGGGAACCCAGACATTCTGGAATAGGGAAACTATGCTGCTTTTATATGTATGAGGATGAAGTAACACCAACTCGGTTTTCCACTGCAAAACGCTTTTATCTGCAACCGGCTGTGAAAAACATACTGAAAAATCAGAGTTTGCGTTTCAATATGTCACTAAGCCTTCAATGCTGGATGAAAGAACTCCTCTCCACCTTCTCACTTCTGACTGCTGAATGTGTGTTGGACCCGTCCTAAACCTAACTTGCTGGAAACCCTGAGTTTCTGGTCTAGGGGAACTACCCAACTTACATATCAAAGCGGAGTCTATCGCTCCAAAGAAATTTTCCACAGCAAAATGATTTTACTTTGAAACCGGCGTTAGTAAACATGTTGAGAATTCAGAGAATGTGTTTCTACATGTCACTCTGCCTTTTATACTGGATGAAAGAACGTCTCTCCACATGCTCTATTTTCAGATCTGTGTATGTGTGGAAGTCTTCCTTCACCTAGCATGTTGGGAACCCAGAATTTCTGGACTAGGGAAACTATGCTGCTTTCATATATATGGGAACGTACAAGCACCATCTTGGTATTCCACTGCAAACCGCTTTTACCTACAACCGTCTGTGAGAATCATTCTGAGAAATCAGAGTAAGTGTGTCTGTATGTCAATTAACCTTCAATGCTGGAAGAAGGAAAGCCTCTCCACATGCTCACTTCTGACAGCTGAATGTGTGTTGGAGTCGTCCTTAAACTAAATTGTTGGAAACCCAGAGTTTCTGGTCTAGGGGAACTATGCTACTTACATATCTAAGCAGAAGAACTCACTCCAACGCGGTTTTCCACAGCAAACCGCTTTTACTTTGAAATCGGCTTTATTAAACACGCTGAGAAGTCAGAGAATGTGTTTTTTTATGTCACTCTACATTTTATGCTGGATTAAAGAACCCCACTACACATGCTGTTTTCAAATCTGTACATGTATGGAAGCCGTCCTTCACCTACCTTCTTTGAAACCCATAGTTTCTGGTCTAGGTGAACTACCCAATTTACATATCTAGGCGGAGGCACTAGCTCCAACGCGGTTTTTTGGATCAAAGCGATTTTACTTTGAAACCGCCTTTAGTAAACATACTGAGATATTAGAGAATATGTTTCTCCATGTCACTCTGCCTTTTATGCTAGATGAAAGAACGCCACTCCACATGCTCTATTTTCAAATCTGTGTATGTGTGGAAGCCATCGTTCACCTACCTACATGGGAACTTAGAGGTTATGGACTAGGGAAACTATGCTGCTTTCATATATATGGGAACGTACTAGCACCAAATCGGTTTTTCACTGCAAACCGCTTTTACTTGCAACCAGCTTTGGAAACATGTTGAGAAATCAAAGTGTTTCTTTATGTCACTTAACCATCATAGCTGGATGAAAGAACGCCTCACCACATGCTCACTTCTGGCAGCTGAATGTGTGTTGGAGCCTCCCTCCATCTAAGTTTTTGGAAAACCAGAGTTTCTGGATTAGGGAAACTACGCTGCTTTCATATATATGGGGACGTATTAGCACCAACTCGGTTTTCCTCTGCAAACAGCTTTTATTTGAAACTCGGTTTGAGAAACATGCTAAGAAATCAGAGTAAGTGTTTCTTTATGTCGCTTAAACTTCAATGCTAAATGAGAGAACGCCTCTCCACAAGCTCACTTCTGATATCTGAATTTGTTTTGGAGACGTCCTGCACCTAACTTGTAGGAAACCCAGAGTTTCTTGTCTTGGGGAACTTTGCTGCTTACATATCTAACGGGAGGCACTCGCTACCATGCGGTTTTCCACAGCAAGCCGCTTTTACTTTCAATCCTGCCTTAGGAAACATGCTGAGAAATCAGAGAATGTGTTTCTACATGGCACTCTGCCTTTTATGATGGATGAAATAAGGCCTCTCCACATGCTGTATTTTCAAATCTGTTTATGTATGGAAGCCGTCCTTCACCTAGCTTGTGGGGAACCAAGAGTTTCTGGACTAGGGAAACTACGCTGCTTTCATATATATGAGAACGTACTAGCACCAAATAGGCTTTCAACTGCAAACAGCTTTTACTTCAGCCAGATTTGGAAACATGCTGAGAAATCAGAGTAAGTATTTCTGTATGTCACTTAACCTTAAATGCTGGATGAAAGAACGCATCTCCACGTGCTCACGTGTGACAGCTGAATATGATTTGGAGCAGTCCTTCACCTAACTTGCTGTAAAAGCAGTGTTTCTGGTCTAGGGGAACTACGCTTCTAACATGTCTAAGCGGAGGCACTCGCTCCAACGTGGTTTTCCACAGCAAACCACTTTTACTTTCAATCCGCCATTACTAAACATACTGAGAAATCAGAGAATGTGTTTCTACATGTCACTCTGCCTTTTACGCTGGATGAAAGAACGCCTCTCCACATACTCTATTTTCAGGTCTGTGTATGTGAGGAAGTATTCCCTCTCCTAACTTGTTGGGAACCGAGAGATTCTGGACTAGGGAATCTATGCTGCTTTCATATATATGGGGACGTCCTAGCACCAACTCGGTTTTCTAATGAAAATAGCTTTTACTTGAAACCGGATTTGAGAAACATGCTGAGAAATCCGTGTAAGTGTTTCTGTATGTCACTAAACCTTCAGTGCTGGATGAAAGAAAGCCTCTCCACAAGATCACTTCTGACATCTGAATGTGTGTTGGAGACGTCCTTCACCAAAGTTGTTGGAAACCTAAAGTATCTGGAATATGGAAACTACCCAATTTATATATCAAAGCGGAGGTACTCGATCCAAAGCGGTTTTCCATAGCAAAACAATTTTGCTTTGAAACCGGCATTTCATACCAAACATAAAAGGCAGAGAGAGATGTACAAACACTTACTCTGATTTCTCAGTATGTTTCTTAAAGCGGGTTTCAAGTAAAATTGGTTTGCAGTGAAAAATCGAGTTCGTGCTAGTACGTCACGATATATATGAAAGCAGCGTAGTTTACCTTGGACTGAAACTCTGGGTTTCCATCAAGCTAGGTGAAGGGCGGCTTCCACACTCATTCAGTTCTGAAAATTGAGCATGAGGAGGTGCGTTCTTTCATCCAGCATAAAAGGCAGAGGAACTTCTAGATGCACATTCTCTGACTTCTCAGCATGTTTCCTAACACCGGTTTCAATGTAAAAGCGGTTTGCTGTGAAGCACCGCGTGGTAGCGAGTGCCTCCCCTTAGATATGTTAATAGCGTAGTTCCCCTATACCAGAAAGTCTGGGTTTCCAACAAGTTAGGTGAAGGACGTCTCCAACACAAATTCAGATAACAGAAGTGATATGGTGGAGAGGCGTTCTTTCATCCAGCATTGAAGGTTAAGTGACATACAGAAACAAATAATCTGAATTCTCAGCATGTTTCTCTAAGCCGGTTTCAAGTAAAAGCGGTTTGCTGTGATAAACCGAATTCGTGTCAGTACATCCCCATATATATGAAAGCAACGTTGTTTACCTTGGACTGAAATTCTGGGTTCCCAGCAACATAGGTGAAGGAAGGCTTCCACACTCATACAGTTCTGAAAATTGAGCATGTGGAGGGGCGTTCCTTCATCCAGCGTAAAAGACAGAGGGACTTCTTCACACACATTCTCTGATTTCTCAGCATGTTTCCTAACGCCGTTCTAAATGTAAAAGCTGTTTGCCGTGAAAAAACGAGTTCGTGCTAGTTTGTCCCTACATTTATGAATTCAGCATAGTTTACCTTGGACTGAAACTCTGGGTTTCCAACAAGCTAGCTGAATGACGGCTTCCACACTCATAAAATTCTGAAAATTGAGCATGTGGAGAGGTGTTCCTTCATCCAGCATAAAGGGCTGAGTCAATCTAGACACACATTATTTGAATTCTCAGCATGTTTCCTACACCGGTTTTAGTGTAAAAGCTGTTTGCTGGGGAAAACCAATTTGGAGCGAGAGCCTACCGTTAGATTTGTAAGTAGCATAGTTCCCCTATACCAGAAATTCTCGCTTTCCAACAGGTTAGGTGAAGGATGGCTGTAAGAGAAATTCAGATGTCAGAAGTCAGCTTGTGGAGAAGAATTCTTTATCCTGGATTGACGGTTAAGTGACATATAGAAAAACTTACTCTTATTTTTCAACATGTTTCTCACAGCCGGTTTCAATAAAAGCAATTTACAGAAAAAACCGAGTTCGTGCTAGTACATCCCAATGTATATAAAAGCAGGGAAATTTATGTTGGAAGAAAACTTTGGGTTTCCAACAAGCCAGCTGAATTTCGGCTTTAAGACACACTTATCTCTCAGAACTGAGTTTCTGGAGAGACGTTCGTTCATCTAGCATAAGGCAACGGGTTACAGTAGAAACACTTACTCTGGTTTCTCAGTAGGTTTCCTAGTGCCGGTTTGAGTTCATGCAGTTTTCACTGTAAAACCGAGTTGGAGATGGTAAATCCCCAAATATATGTATGTAGTATAGTTCCCAACTGAAAAGAAACTTTGTGTTCCCAACAAGCTAGGTGAATGACAGCTTTCACACACATTTATCTCTTAGAAATTAGCATGTACAGAGACGTTCGTTCATCTAGCATAAAGGGAATGAGTAGCAGTAGAAACACTTTCTTTGGTTTCTCAGTATGTTTCCTAGTGCTGGTTTGAAGTTCATGCAGTTTTCACAGTAAACCGCGTTGGAGCTGGTACCTCCCCATATATATGTATGCAGTGTACTTTCCATCTGAAAAGACACTCTGTGTTCCCAAGAAGCTAGGTGAATGACGGCTTTCACAAACACATATCTCTCAGAACTGAGCTTGTGCAGAGACGTTCGTTCATGTAGCATAAATGGATTGGCTTGCATTAGAAACACTGACACTGGTTTCACATTATGTTTCCTTGTACCAGTTTGAAGTTCATGCAATTTTCACTGTAAGACCGAGTTGGAACTATACCTCCCCAAATGTACGTATGTATTGTATTTTCCAACTGAAAAGAAACTTTGGCTTCCCAACAAACTAGGTGATTGACGGCTTTCACACACACTAATCTCTCAAATCTGAGAATGTGGATAGACGTTCGTTCATCTAGCATAAGTGGAATTGGTTGCAGTAGAAACACTTACTTTGCTTTCTCACTATGTTTCCTAGTGCAGTTTTGAAGTTCATGTAGTTTTCACTGTAAAATAGAATTGGGGCTATTACCTCCCAATATATATGTTTATGAAGTATATTTCACAATTGAAAAGACACATTGTGTTCCCAACAAGCTAGGTGAATGATGGCTTACACATACACTTATATCTTAGAAATGAGCATGTGCATAGACGTTCGTTCATCTAGCTTAAATGGAATTGTTTGCTGTAGAAACACTAAGTCTGGTTTCTCAGTACGTTTCCTAGTGCCGGTTAGAAGTTCGTACAGTTTTCACAGTAAAACAGAGTTGGATCTAGTACCTCCTCGTATATATTTAGGTATTGCATTTTCCAACTGAAAAGAAACTTTGTGTTCCCAAGAAGCTACATGAATGACAGCTTTCACACACACTTATCTCTCAGACATAAGCATGTGCATAGACATTCGTTCATCTAGCATGAAAGGAATTGTTTGCTGTAGAAGTCTCCATATATATGTATGTAGTGTAGTTCCCAACTTATAAGAAACAATGTGTTCTGAACAAGCTGCGAGAAAGATGGCTTTCACCCACATTAATCTCTCAGAACTGAGCATGTGAAGAGACGTTCATTCATCTAGCATAAGGGGGTTTCTTAGAAACTCTTACAATGCTTTCTCAGTATGTTTCCTCAAGTCGGTTTGAAATTCATGCAGTTTTCACTGTAAAACAAAGTTTTTAATTAGTACACCCCATATATATGTAAGTAGTGTAGATTCAAACTAAAAAGAAATTTTGTGTTCCAAACAAGCTATGTGAATGTGTCTTACACACACACTTAACTCTCAGAAATGAGCATGTGGAGAGACGTTAGTTCATCAATCATACAGGGATTGGGTTGCAGTAGAAACACTTACTCTGGTTTCTCAGTATGTATCCAAGTGCTGGTTTGAAGTTCATGCTGTTTTCACTGTAAAATCGAGTTGCGGCTACCACTCCCCATATATAAGTAGTGTAGTCCCCTACTAATAAGAAACAATGTTTTCACAACAGGCTACAAGACAGACGGCTTTCAAGACACTTATCTCTCAGAAGTGAGCATCTGCAGAGACGTCCGTTCATCTAGCATAAAGGGAAAGGTTTGCTGAAGAAACACTAACACTGGTTTCTCAGTATGTTTCCAAGTGCCTGTTTGAAATTCATGTATTATTCACTGTAAAACCGAATTGGAGCTAGAATCTCCCCATATATAATTATATAGTATAGATTCCAACTGAAAAGTATCTTTGTGTTCCCAACAAGCTAGGTGAGTGACCGTTTTCATACACACTTTCCTGTTAGAACTGAGCATGTGGAGAGACCTTCGTTCATCTAGCATAATGGGAATCGTTAGTAGTACAAACACATTCTCAGTTTCTAAGGTAGTTTCCTAGTACCGGTTTGAAGTTCATGCTGTTTTCACTATAAAAACGCGTTGGAGCTGATACCGCCCCATAAATAAGTATGTAATTTACTGTCCAACTGAAAAAAAAATTGTGTTCCCAGGAGGCAAGGTGAATGACGGCTTTAACACACTCTTATCTCTCAGAACTGAGCATGTGCCGAGACGTTCGTTCCTCTAGCATAAAGGGAAAGGATTGCAATAGAAACACTCTGGTTTCTCAGTCTGTTTCCTTGTGCCGGCTTAAAGTTCATGTAGTTTTCAGTGTAAAACCGAGTTGGAGCTAGTACATCACCATATATATTTATTTAGAGTAGTTCCCAACTGAAAAGAAATATTGTGTTCCCAAGAAGCTAAGTGAATGTCGGTTTTCACACACACATATTCCTCACAAATGAGCATGTGGAGAGACGTTGGTTCATCTAGCATAAAGGGAATGGGTTGCAGTAGACACACTTACTCTGTTTCCTCTGTATGTTTCCTAGTGCCCGTATGAAATTGATGCAGTTTACACAGTAAAACGGAGTTGGGGATGATACCTACACATTTATTTGAATGTTGTGTAGTTTCCAACTAAAAAGAAACTTTGTGTTCCAACAACCTAGGTGAATGAGGGCTTTCACTATCATAGCTGACCATGTGCAGTGACGTTAGTTCATCTACAATAAAGGGAATGATTTGCTGTATTAACACATGTTTTCTCAGTATGTTCCCAAGTGCCGATTTGAAGCTCATGATGTTTTCACAATTAAACCAAGTTGGATCTAGTACCTCCCCATATATATGTATGTAGTGTAGTTTCCAATTGAAAAGAAACTTTGTTTTCCCAATAAGCTATGTGAATGATGGCTTTCAAACACACCTATATTCAGAAATGAGCATGTAGAGAGACGTTCGTTCATCTAGCCTAAAGGGAATGATTTCAGTAGAACCAATTACTCTGGTTTCTCAATATGTTTCCAAGTGCTGGCAGGAATTTCATGCAATTTTCACTGTAAAAGCACGTTGGAGCTAATACCTCCCGATATATATATATGTATTGTACTGTCCAACTGAAAAGAAATGTGTTCCCAACATGATACGTGAATTACAGCTTTCACTCACACAACTATGTCAGAACTGAGTATGTGCAGAGACGTTGGTTCATCTAGCATAAATGGAATGGCTTGCAATATAAACACTTTTGATTCTCAGAACGTTTCCTATAGCCGATTTGATGTTCATGCAATTTTCACTGTAAATCCGAGTTGAAACTAGTACCTCCCCATATAAATGTATGTAGTGCAGTTTTAAACTTAGAGGAAACTTTGTGTTCCCAACAAGCAAGGTGAATGACGGCTTTCTCACACACTTATATCTCAGAATTGAGCATGTGCAGAGACGTTCGTTCATCTAGCAGAAAGGGAATGGGTAGGAGTAGAAACAGTTTATCTGGTTTCTCAGTATGTTTCCAAGTGCCGATTTGAAGTTCATGCAGTTTTCCCTGTAAAATAAATTTTTTTGCTATTACCTTTATATATATATGTAAGTTGTGTAGATTCAAACTGAAAAGAAATTACGTGTTCACAACAAGCTATGTGAATACGCATTTCACACACACTTAACTCTCAGAAATGATCATGTGGAGAGACGTTAGTTCATCAAGCATAAAGGGAATGGGCTTCAGTAGAAACACTTACTCTGGTTTCTCAGTATGTTTTCAAGCGCCGGTTTGAAGTTTATAAAGTTTTCACTGTGAAACCGATTTGGAGCTGGTACCTCATCATATAAATTTATGTAGCATAGTTTCCAACGTGAAAGAAATTTTGTGTTCCCAACTATCAAGGTGAATGACGGATTTGACACACATTTTTCTCTCAGAACTGAGTATGTGGAGAGACTTTCTTTGATCTAGCAAAAAGGGAATGGTACGCAGTACACACACTAACTCTGGTTTCTCAGTATGTTCCCTAGTGCCAGCATGAAGTTCATGCAGTATTCAATGTGAAACCGAGTTAGAGCTAGTACCGCCCCATAATATGTATGTATTGTAGATTCCAACTGAAAAGAAAGTTTGCGTTTCCAACAAGCTAGGAGAATGAAGGCTTTCACACACACACATATCTCTGAAATCTGAGCATGTGCAGAGACTTTCGTTCATCTACCATAAAGGGATTGGGTTGCATTAGAAACACTTACTCTGGTTTCTCAGTATGAGTTCTAGTGCCGTTATGAAGTTAATGAAATTTTGACTGTAAAACCGATTTGGAACTAGTACCTCCCCATATATATGTAATTTTGTAGATAGCAATTGAAAATTTTTGTTCCCAAGAAGCTAGGCGAATGACGGCATTCACACACAATTATCTCAGATATTAGCATGTGCATAGACGTTCGTTCATCTAGCAAAAAGGGAAATGTTTACTGTAGAAATACTAAGTCTGATTTCTCAGTATGTTTCCTAGTGCCAGAATGAAGTTCATGCAGTTTTCACAGTAAAACCTTGTTGGAACTGTTACCTCCCCATATATATGATGCAGTGTAATTTCCAAGTGAAAAGAATATTTGGGTTCCAAACAACCTAGGTGAATGACGACATTCACACACACTTATATCACAGAACAGAGAATGTGGAGAGACTTTCGTTCATTTAGCATAAAGGGAATAGTGTGCTGTAGAAACAGTTACTCTGGTTTCTCAGTATGATTCCTAGAGCCGGTTTAAAGTTCACACAATTATCACTGTAAAACCGAGTTTGGGCTAGTACTTCCCCATATATATATATGTAGTGTAATTCCCAACTTATAAGAAACAA